AGGAACTTAATGCCCTTTACAACCTGGACGAACACTGAGATCTGTAAACCGACTACAGCTTGCTGCTCCACCAACCAGCAGAACAACATATGGTGACAGAACCTTCCGAAAAGCAGGTGCAACTCTATTGAATGCACTGCCCGTTGATGTCAGGGGATCTGAAGATGTCAACACCTTTTTATCAAAAATCAAGATCATCCTCTTCAAAAGAGCATACGAGTGAGCGCTCTTGAGCAGGCAGTATGTCTGGATGGGTAGCGTTATATAAATGCTTAATTTGAATTGAATTTGAATACTTCAAAGGATGTCCACTGGAGTGTATAACAGCGCAACAGACTGACACATATTTTAGATAAATCTATCATCACAATGAAGCGGCGCAGCAGAAATTGATATATTCAACATGAAATAAGGTGTATTATATACATGAATTTTAAAGTGAATTAATTCCTTTCACTGCCACCAGCGTGAAAGGATAGACCTACCTGGTATTATCACTATTTGAGAGTGATTAATTTCCACATGCTTATGAGATACTAGTATACGTACAAGGGTATTTTATGAAAAGTAAGTTGTTACTTTAATTCACTACAAAAGTGAATGGCAAACATCAACTAAACACTATTTATTTAGTGGGAATCACTGTTTATTTCCTGTAAGTATTAGATCCAAAACAAACAAGGCAATTAAGGTGCCTCTTTATAACCTATGGTAAGCAAAATATGTAATTAAATGCGATACTAAATCATATACAACGTCAAGCCATGTATATGGGTCCTCACAAGTAAGGCACAAAGAGAATGGATACAACATGCATAAAATGTCAACAGACAGCCGTATCACTTTAGACCTGCACACCAAAGCATCAAACTATCATAAAGACCACTTTCAAAGGTATGGACAATCAAAACTTATGGCAAAATTTGTCTTCATAAAGTTGCCTTTAGTTCACATTTTGTGACATATAAATATCTTAAATCGACGAAACAATTCGTTTTACGATCAAACGATTATAATATGTAAATTCACAGTCGCGGCAACACACTTGGCTGCTATTGACGTAAGGATCAGTCAGGAGTGTGAGTTTATCGAGCGCGCAGGATGTTAAATAGCATAACCAGGACTCACAGACAGTTTTGGATAACAAGCAATCTGATTAATAAGTAATGATCGTGTGCGATTATCGCTGTTATAAGTCTTAATGACTTTTGGAAGTTCATATAAGAGTCTGTCGTGGTATTTAAGAAAAACAGAGTGAGTGAGTATGGTTTTAGGCCGCTTTTAGCAATATTCCAGCAATATCACGGCGGGGACACCCAAAATGGGCTTCACACATTGTACCCATGTCGGGAATCGAACCCGGGTCTTTTGCGTGACGAGCGAACGCTTTAACCACAAGGCTACCCGACCGCCCATTTAAGAAATAAACGACGAGAGGGAGTTGTTTATCGTACAATAAAACAATGCCGGGAAAAAAATCATGAGGGGTGACTTTCTCAATATAATCCGCCCTCGGCAATGTCAGACAAGTCCACGTTATGCACAGGTGGGTATTTCCCGTATATTCTATCAATCTTCACGTCGATTATCTGTACCTTTTCTCCCAATACCCATTGTCACATCTCTCCCGCTTTTGGATGCGATCGTTCGGCCATCGCGTTTATCTGCGTTGCTCAGGTTCATCTATGGGGCACAACTCACAAGACACTCCCCCCCCCCCCCGTCTTATATACGATGTCATCAAGTAGCGAGCGCATGTTCGAATCTCCAGAAATGACACTTCGTTCTTTATTGTCGTTCGCGATTTATCGCGTAGCTATCTTATATATGTTAATTTAATGCAAAGCAGATAATATATTTAATACCATAAGATAACAGTCATATTTTGACGTAAAAATGTACACTATATGAAAGATTAACATAATTTTCAGTTCCCGCACCGTATTTTCCCGTCCAGTGATATCATCGCTTCCAGTGCTTGTTTACTTTTTCCCATAGTCAGGATCTGAAACTGCATCACATGGAATGAAGACCCGGAAACTAATTTCAAGTTATCAAATGATGACAGGGTAAACGTTTTGTACATCAGGACACAGGAGGAAACGTATGTTTCCTTTTGAAACTTAAATGACTTCTTGTGTACAATATATTATGCAACCTTTCATTCTTTTCAGGGGTATAGATATTCTAAATAATGGTTACCTCGAGATTGAGCGCCGCTGTTCTGATATGGAGATGCGTTGATGGACTCGTACGATACTGGAGGAGCTTCTGTCATGTCTTCGTATGTACTTGTCTCTGATTTGGGCTCGACTGAAAATATGTTTCGTGACACATTTACAAAGAACAAATTCAAATGTTACACATCTGTGTAAACGTAACACAACGTTTAATAGCACACCGATGATCTGGCAGTACCTCAACTGAGTTTGTCAACTGAGAACTGCTATAGTATATAAAATGTCAAAGTATCCATCTACCGTTTGTATTCTCATAAATC